TCAAATCAGAACAGAAATGCATGTATTTGCAGGAGTGCATTGTGGCAATGTGGCCAGGAGCACTGCAAGTAAGAGGTGCTTTTGGTTTACACCTGCGTGTGTTCACATACACCGCAGCACCCCAGGTGTGTGCTTATGCTAGCAAGCACTAAATCAGGCAGGGGGTGAGGATAATACAGAGGTGACACCCAGCAGGTGTATTTGTGCAAAACCCTGCATGAATTGTCTGCTGCTGTTGTGTAACTTAGCTCTATGTTGTGTTGCTTGTGTTGATGAATGCAGGAATGTAAATGCATGAGCAAACCATGTTTTGATCAACTGTGATGCACTCATGTTTTAGGGGTATTAATTATGTAGTGTAAAAATGAATATGTCTCTCCATAAGTTGAGTGAAGAAGTAAGTATGGTTTGGCGTGTAAAAGCGCGCACGCAACCTGCGCGTGTGCGTGTTGGGCTTCATAAATCAGCCCCAAGGAGTCGTGAGTGTGACTCATTCGAAATGTAACAAACCTAGTACTTCTTGTTCAGATGTGTCTCCAACCACTGTAGAAATTATTATCCTACATGCAGACATGCCTTCTTTAAGCACTGCTTCTGCAAAATCTGTAATGTCCTGCTCTGTTATGCGTTCTACACATGCAGACCCTGTAATTTCTTCCCAAGATGACTTTTTCCACATAGAATCTGAAATTTTGTTGTCAGATATGACTTTGCCTTCTTTAAATTCACAGTCTGCTGCTGCACCTGCAGATATGCTTTCCATATCTACAGAATCATTGTCCACATCTTCTGATTCACCTTCTACATCTATGTCTAGACCAACTGTGAAACCAGATCCTTTGTCTCATACAACTACTAAATTATATTTTATGAAAGTGCACCCTATCCAGCCATCATAAGATGCAACTAATGTGTTAACATTGCAGGGGCATAAAGTCTACTTTCCTCCTGTGCCTGGTGCTTTTGTAGTTCTAAGAAAATGGCTTCCTTTTTCTGTAGAAACACAAGAATGGTTTTGCTTAACTTGTATGGCTTTCAGTACTAACAGACAATGTCCATTCCTTATTGGTTGGAAATTTGAAAAGGTACATGTATATATGTGTCAGGTAACATGAGGGATGTACACAACATCAGACAGCACAAAGTGCATATCTGTCTGCAGAAAACATCGCAGATATTGAATATCTATTTACTGTTAACCTGCAATATAAGCAAATGAGAAAGTACTTCAAAACTGTGAGATTCTGTACATTGCTGAATTAGGCCTTGCTTACAGAAGGAAGGTTGAAGCTACTTATACTTTATGTATCCTGATTGAAATTATGGTAATTTTCTTGAGCCTGTTTTGCTTCTTAGCAAATATGATGTCATGTCCTAATAGAAGAAGAAATAGTCTGGTAATATTGCTAAGCAAAACTTCAGTTACTTGATCTCCATATTAAGCAAAACAGTGAAACAACAAATAAACAAGGATGTTAGAGAAGTTGTTAGATTTATTGTGGAAATGGACAGGGCACAGGTTGTTGCAGTGAAAGAACAATGCAGCATACCTATGCGATATGTCAAAGAAAGAACATTGCAACAGAGGCTTTGCTCTTTAATTAATGTTAGAACAACTTGAGAAGTTCTGTTTGGCATTTTGAAAGAGCAATTGGAAAAGTTCTCCTTTAGTGTTGTTAACATTTTTGGCTGCTCATTTGATGGTCTTACAAGTTTAAGTGGAGTACAGGCTCACATCAAAACAATGTCGTGCAATTCTGTATACATGTGATGCAATGCTCATGTTCTTAATTTGGTGATTACTGATGTCACACAGTGTGCCAGTGAAATAATTATTTGGACTTAAAAAACAGCTGTTGTTTAATTGGATTAAGGGCATACAAAGCTCTCCAGACTTAAGAAAATAGGTGATACTAAAAAGTAGAGCAAGCCAAGAGCTATGGAACCATAAATGGTTCCACAGTGGAACACCCAAAGTAATTGTGTACTGTTCTACTGTACTGTTGGCATACATTGCTGAACCCCCTAGATCTGACAGTAAAGCTGTCAGTGGGCCAAAAATCTGTTTTATTCTTGGACCTGTTTTGTAGACATGGCAAGTGGTGGAAATTGATGTTCAGGGATTCATTTTCAAACCTACTAACTACACAGGTGGAATAATTTGTCACAAAGGCAAGCTGTACTCTTCTGGAGCATTCTGTTAAAAAATGCATTGTCACTAGCTAAACATCTTTCTAATTCCTTTAAATGGTCTCAACACTAGGTTTATATTTAGTCATTAAACAGGCAACAACCAACCTGAAAGAAAAATTCTCAAATAAATGGTAAGATCAAACAGCGACATTCCAAAAGAAGCTTTGCGAACCGTGACACAGTAGATGTCACAGTTGTGAATTTACCAGACCCATGTTAGGGATATGTGGAGTAAGATGTAAGTGGACATGTGCTTGTTTATATCAGATTACCCCTGATCTGTCATGATCACATCTGCCAAAACAGAACTCTGTTTTCTGGACCTAGATTGAGTTGGGAATAATTGGATATAAACAAATGCATGTCAGTTTAGATCCGGCTGTCCATAGATTAACATGAGGCTTCCAATCAAATTCACCTGAAAAACTGATAGGATGAATACCTACATCTTAAAGATATTATGAAGTGGTTAAAGGTTGACATTTTAGCTGAAAATGTTGTGCATGCAGTTAAAAAGCACAATAACTCTCTAAACATTGCTAAACTCTACATACAGAAACCATTGTCAAATCTTAAGGACTGGGTAATTAGATGATTTCAGCTCTTTACCGCTGGTCATTAACTATATGATACTTTGCAACACTTGCCTGATGACTGGGTAATACAATGATTTTAGCTCTGTACCATTGGTCTTCATCCTTATCATATCATACTAGCAACATTTGCTTGACTAACTACTGTGTATGTAATTTCCTGTCATCGGTTTCTTCGCTTGTATCTTGTTCACTGATTTCTACATTATGGAAATCTGATGGATAAATTGTCTGAAAATATTTGCCCAGTTGTGGTATAAATACATTTCAAAGTATAATTATTTTTTGTTAACATCAGAAATAAAGGCAATTTTGTTGGATAAAGACTGTGGATGTGTCATATTGGAAAATTGGACGGTTTAGCGGGGTTGGGCCACAGATCCAACTTTCTCTAGTGGTCCCAATCCATCCCTGCAGAAAATGGAGGCTGAACAGAACCCAAGTTAAATGAATATACTGGTTAAAGTGACATTAGGGCAAAGGTCCCCCCCCCCCACAGTGCTAATGTAAGGACTTACCTTAAATGATGTCTCTTAATCCGATCATCTTCTTCTTTCCTGTAGTTTTTAGCTGTCCCTCCAGCGCTGGTGCAGGTCTCTGATCCAGCGCTGACTCCTTTGTCCTCCTCTTCTCAGATGTCCCAAGGAGTCTGTGCAGGTGCACGCTGCTCCATTTACTTACCTTGTGTCTCTCCTCATCTGCCGGCCGAACATCTGAACTGCGCATGCGCCCGCCCCAAGATCCTTTGCGGACGCCCAAGAAATTTTCAGATGTTCGGACAGGAGCGCGCAGCGGAGACACAGGTAAGTATTAACCCTTTCCAAAAGTTTGAAAAAAAAATATTCTGCATTTATCTACTGCTTGCTAGTAGTAGATATATGCAAAAAAAGTGAGGGTTTAATAACCCTTTAAGTCTGGGGCACTCCATCCTGGATCATGTGTATCACAAAGCTCTACAGCAACAAAACATGGTAATGTGCAATGTGGATGGCAGACCCATTTTAATGACAGTAAGTCATTTTAATGACACTTATAAGGTGCAGGTCTCTGATCCAGCGCTGACTCCTTTGTCCTCCTCTTCTCAGATGTCCCAAGGAGTCTGTGCAGGTGCACGCTGCTCCATTTACTTACCTTGTGTCTCTCCTCATCTGCCGGCCGAACATCTGAACTGCGCATGCGCCCGCCCCAAGATCCTTTGCGGACGCCCAAGAAATTTTCAGATGTTCGGACAGGAGCGCGCAGCGGAGACACAGGTAAGTATTAACCCTTTCCAAAAGTTTGAAAAAAAAATATTCTGCATTTATCTACTGCTTGCTAGTAGTAGATATATGCAAAAAAAGTGAGGGTTTAATAACCCTTTAAGTCTGGGGCACTCCATCCTGGATCATGTGTATCACAAAGCTCTACAGCAACAAAACATGGTAATGTGCAATGTGGATGGCAGACCCATTTTAATGACAGTAAGTCATTTTAATGACAGTTAGACAGGTAAGTATTAACCCTTTGAAAACCTTTTTTTTTCAAATCGTTTTGCATATATCTACTGCATGCTAGCAGTAGATATATGCAAAAACAAATAAGGGTTTAATAAACCTTTAAACCAATACAATAAATTACAGTATAACAGAGTTGTCCTTCTTTGGATTTAGTTATACCAACAATCTTAACAAAATGCCAAACCACATCAAGTTCTGACCTCCAGCTTTGCCATCCAGGTATATGATCATGTTTCATGGTGCTCTAGCCTCAGGACTAGTTTCATAACTGAACACTGTTGAGCCAGCTGTAATTGTTTGTGTTTTGCTGTATGATAAGGTTAATGTGAAGACAGTGCAGCAATGTAACACATTGTCTTTCTCAATCCCTTTCATGAGGCACCCGATCAAGTTATTCAGATTTCCCTTAATTCCATTCTTTCAATACGTCTATACTGCAGTAAATTAAAATGAAATGTAATGGTGTGAGTAGTAGTGTGAACAGACAGTACTTCATATATCCAAGCAGTTGTCATATGTTATTACTCTTTAACAAGGAAATGTGGATGCTTGATTATTCCTGTACATTCTTACGTGGCCTGAAACCTGCTTTTAACACTAGTGAAGATTTTTTAGTTAATATTTCCTGGAGCAGAAGACCGGAGACTGACTTGAACTTGTTCTTTGCTAAATACATTTGTACATCAGAATAATGAGTTCACAAGGCACAAAAAATTTGTAGTTTTCAATTCAATAGGTGGACAAGGTTTATGCTTTGACTGTTTCTTTGTTCTTTAATAGACCAATTTCACATGCTGTCAGTTATGACTGATTGCTACTGAGCTCTACATTATAGAAAAAGGATATGTATACACATCCATTCTCTACTGTTCCTGGAGAGCTTGCTGCATTGCCAAGGCGGTTTACATTTTCATTTTCTTGTGTTGAGTTTCTCCTGCTTGAATTAGAAGGAAAAACAGAAACTGTTAAAATGTAAACTTTGAAGACCTAATTTAAAACATTTAAAAAGCACCATAATGACTGTCAATATATGGAACATATATAAGCTGATCAAACAAGGAATTTCACAGATCAACTTTGATGTGTAAATTGCTGTAAACTATAGCAACAGGACTGCAGTTTCATGACGTCAAATTAAAAAAATATATATTTGGATGGTTGTTTCTTGCCTTAATGAAAAGCAGTCGACATCATTAGAAGAACTACACTACAAGAAAGTCCCAGTCTGCTACTTAAATTTACTTTAAACTGCCATAACAATTTTGGATGTGAACTACAAAACTATTACATTAACTTACATTTCTGTTTTTTTAATCACTTTAACTCCCAAAGTATAATAACAACACTTTTCTGTTTTCCCTGGAATCTATACTTTATTTATTTATCAAATATATTTAGACTATGAAAAGGCCCTTTAGCACCCGCAAGTCATCCTTTCTACTTAGATACATTTACAAAGAAATCACTGACATCTACTATGTCAACATTGGCTACTGTAAAGGTGTCCATACACTGATTTGCAGCCAGCAGAGGCCAGTATAGGCCTAATTCGCTAAATATGGAGCAAGGAGGATCTGCTGACTTATTTGAAATGTCCAAATCTCAATCTAAATTGCTTTAAATTTGATATTTCAATACGCTGATTGTCTTATAACCTATTGACTTGAAGTATATTTGAGACACTGGTGCTTATATCTCTTAAAGGAGGTCTCGCCTCTGCAACCTACTACCACCATAGGATATTGAGAGTATATTTATAAAGCAGTGAATGTGATTTTCACCAAGCATTTAATGGTAGTGCATAGATTTTTTTTAACACACACACACCAGTAAGATGCAGTGAATGTTTTGTGAATGTCAGATGCAAGCAAGGCAGGGGATGGGGGTAGAATGTGTGGTGGTGATAGTGGGGGCTGACCTGCATGTGAGATCATATGGAGGTTGAGGGTCAGATGCAGTGGTGAGGGATGAGTGATGGTGCCAGTGGGGCATGCAGGTGTGCTCCAAATGTGGTGGGAGGGGATATTAGTGCAGTGGTGGCTACAAAATTGCCCATTGGTGCAGTGTTAGCAAGAGAAGTGCATGTCAGTGCAGTGGTAACGAGAGAAGGAGTGAGCATTTGTGAAAGAAGAAGTGGCACTAAATGCCATTACTGTGCATACACTGTAGAGGCGCCGTTCTAACAAGGACCTGAGTTCCAAAGCTGCAACTGCACTGCGCATGTGTGGCACCATTTTGTATAAGCCTGGTAGGCATGGTCAGCACAGTGGTGAGAGGAGGGGTGCCGGCACAGTGGTGAGAGGAGGGGTGCGGGCAAAGTGGTGGGAGGAGGCAGAGGAGAGATGTGAGGGGAAATGGGGAAGGATAACAGAAATATAATGGACACAGCCAGCAATGGGAGATGTGGTAGATGCAGTGTAGGAAATAGGAGGGGAGTGGGAGAAGGCAGTCAGCCAGGAGTATGGTGTTAGAGCAGGAACAGTAGAGGTGCAGATGCAGTGTTTAATTAGTCCCATCCTTCCGATGCTTCCATGTTCTGCAACGCTGAGATGAATATGGCAAAGAGATCATGCACATGTACTGCCACTACCATACATGCATGGTATCTCACGCCATATTTTAATTGCCATTACAATTTAGTGGTGGTACTGCTCATGTACTAAATACCACTGCCAGTTAACAAAAAGGTGGCAAGATGTACACCATATTCATCTTGCCACCATATTCATCTCAGATTTGCAGAATACAGAAGCATCAGGAGGGTGGGAGTAACTATGCACTGCAAAAGCGTGGCCATATATGCAAATTGCTGCATTTGCATTGGACAGGCTGTTTGAGGGGAGCCATGCAAGTTCATGTACAGGCGTTCCAGTACATGTACTTTGCACGCATTCGTAAAATGCCATCCTGCATTCCTAAGCGCAGTATAAAGTAGCAGACACCATATTGGACTTTATAGGATCTAGTTTTAGATAGAGTGGAGAGGAATTATAACTCTTGAAACTGAAGGAAAATCTGCGGCAGGGACACAGACAGAAATAAAAATATGAAAGAGGTTATAGCCTTACCTTACTCTAAAAAAAAAGCATTTCAGTTTCTGTCTGTGTTGCTTTTGGAGTTCTCCTCACTTCCGGTCTAATAATAAGGTGTCAACAGCACAAAAAGTGAGGTACCTCTCTCTAACGGAGCCTAGCACAGCAGTAAAAAAAATCCCGACAGGATTACTAACCCTTCTCCACTCTATCCAAATCCAAGAAAAAAAGTTTTGGCTGGACATACACTTTAAGTAAACAACTTGCCTTTTTTATTGAACTTACCCCAAACTAGATCATTCAGAGTATCTCCAGCAATATACGCCAATGCTGCCAGTATATTACTGCTTAATAAAAATATTATAAAACCAAATGGATTTAATAATCCTAGGAAAGGGTAAACCCAGTTGCCATCAGCAATGTAGATCCACAGAACCCTACAAATGAGAAAAATAGAAAATAAAGTAATATTAAAACCAACAGTCTTTTTTAAAGTAAGAAAACACAAATATAAACTGGGAACTGTTACAGAGATGGAAGAATGTGATTCCTTATAAAGGCTACAGATAAAGGTTAAGGTTAAGCCACTTACAAAAACCCATTCCATCTAAGAAGACTAGTGTTTGTTTTCTAAAATGCCCTTCCCATGTTATTGTTTTGCTTTTTTACTAGCTTCAATTCCTATTCAAGAATTGTCTCCTGCCGAACTGTCTGCAGAGTAGTGGAACAGGCACTAGTCTGGGGGAGGGATTCAGGAAGACAAGCTCCACCCACACAGTAACAACCACCCCCATGAGAGTTGGTGGTATGTCATTAGTTGTATATTTCCAACTCACAGGGGCTTCTGCTTGCTGACCTCTCCAACATTACTCTCCATGGGCTGCCTATAGGGGTAAATAGGGGAAAGTGAATCTCAATACGAATTTTTGGAATTTACAGATACGGCATACTCTACATTTTACAACATAACTGGGCATCAGATATATCAGTACAACTTTACTAGGAAGAAGACAGATCAATCGAAAATTAATTTGGAATGTAAAAAGTTATGGTTTAGGGCAGGCCTCAAAATTTCCTCTCGCCCCCTCGCAAATGGTGAGTGAAAATTGCGGGGGGGGGGGCGAGTGGAATGTCAGCGACACTGGCGGGACCAGGGATGGGACACTACCGCCGTGGCGATCGCTCGCTCGCTTCTGTTCTCTCTTCTCTTTCTCGGCTGCTGCAGCTATAGAGCGGCCGAGAAGGAGAAGAGAGAATAGAAGCGAACACTTGCCGTGGCGGTAGTGCTCCATTCAGAGCCGTATCTAGCTCTCTGCGCTCCCTCTTCTCTCCACCAGGCCGCTCTGAAGCTGCAGCGGCCAGGAGAGAGAGGGAACGCTGTTATGTGTGATGGCCGCCGCATCTCTGAGTGCTCACCTCGTGGAGTTGAAGCGGCATCGGCCGGGAGAAGAGAGAGGGATCGCTCAGCGGTGTGATCAGAGCATTCTTAAAGATGCCCCCCTCCCAGTCCACATCTTTTGGATGTTATTTATCTGAGTTGCCCCACTCAGTATGCCCCTCGCTTGCAGCCATATTGAGTGGGGCACTCATATAAATAACGTGCTGGATTAGTCTGACCCAGGGATGGACTAGGCCCAGGGGCAGGGTGGCAATTGCCCCCCGGGCCTCTCTGATATCTTTGCAAACGCCCCCCAGCGCCGCAAGCACTTAATCTCTCCCCCCACTTGGCCGCTGCAGCAGAGAGATTAAATGCTTACGGCGGCAGTGGGGGGTGTTTGCAAAGGTATCAGAGAGGCTTGGGGGGCAATTGCCACCCTGCCCCTGGGCCCAGTCCGCCCCTGGTCAGACTAATCCAGCACGTTATTAATTTTAGTGCCCCACTCAATATGACCGCAAGCAACGGGTATACTGAGTGGGGCAACTCAGATTAATAACGTCCGAAAGATGTGGACTGGGAGGGAGGCCTCTTTAAGACTGCTCTGACTTTAAGACTGCTCTGACTTTAAGACTGCGGCGGCGGGGAGAAGCGAACAAGAAGCTCCCCTGCCATTGTCTGTGCTCTCTTCCATTGGGCTCCTTGGCGGCCACAGCAGTTTCCTCCGCCCACCTCAGCTGCCATTGGTGGGAGAGAAAGACTGCCGAACCGCAGTTGGCCGGCTTCTGCTGCGCAGGAGAGAGAGCACCTGGAGCCGGCTGGACGTAAAGGAAACCTCGCTGCTCCCCCACCATCACCAGGAGAAGAAGAGTTCAAAGCAACTGTAAGTCCCTGTACTTTCTTTGTGACCTCTGCATGCGTTACATACTGACCGCTGACCTCTGTACTGTGTGCTGATCTCTGTACTGTGTACTGACCTCTGTACTGTGCGTCACACCCTGATCTCTGTACTGTGCATCACACCCTGACCTCTGTACTGCGCATCACATTGCTGACCTCTGCACTGCGCGTCACATTGCTGACTTCTGCACTGCGCGTCACATTGCTGACCTCTGCACTGCGCGTCACATTGCTGGCCTCTGCACTGCGCGTCACATTGCTGGCTTCTGCACTGCGTGTCACACAGCTGGCATCTGTATTCTGCATTGCACCACTGACTTCTGTACTGTGCGTTGTTACTGATCTTTATACTCTGCGTCACACCGCTGACCTGGCGGAGTTAAGGCCGTTTCAGGGTAGGGGTTAGGTGGGGCAACTGGTGGCGAGTAACTTTTAAGGCCTGGCTAGTAGCTTAGGACTTGAAATTTTGAGCCCTGGTTTAGGGTATATAAATGTAAACTTCTAACACTGGGAAGCTTATTTGCAGAGTTGGCCCCATTTGCGACATAGTGACAAATGAGCAAAAATTTTGGTCAGAAAATGCGCAAAGTTTGCAGCTCACACTGCTGCGTGAGCTTCTTTGCCACGCTGTGTGAATGGGGCCTAGATCTAATACTTTTATAAGTACAGTGACATAAACTTTATCTTTCTTTATTGTCCAATATATATTGTATATACATTTCTAAATACTAACTAGTAGCTGTTTGCATCATATTGTTTACAAGCGATTTAGTTATTATCATTAAATTATACCCAGAGTTTAATATGTGCAACGTGAAAGCTGTGTTCCAGTAAATTTAATTTACATGTATAATCATAAGGGACACACAAGTAAAAAGAGCGGCGGACTTGTCTGTAATCTTTGGTTTATTGACTTCTCTTAGTCATCCATAATTCAGGGAAAACCTGCAGAGAGCTCCCATGTGGATTCTTTAATACACTCAATGCTGCTTTGTCTTGCTGTTTTGCTAAATATAAATATCATGCTAAAGTTAAAGTAACAATAAAATGCAATCTAGCAAAACAATAGTAATAGCCATTATTTTATTTAGGTATAATATTGGTTAAAAATCAGACCAGATCACTTTTTTTTTTAGTAAAGTTTAGAAGTTCCTGCTCAAAGCCACATTTAGATGCGTTTAGCCTCATTTAAGACCTATTCACACCTATGCGTCACCTATGCTATAACAGCACAGTGTTTAAAATGAAACATGAAGTGTACAACACAGCATACAGAATGAGACAGTGTTGAATAGGGAAAGTACAGTATAGTGTACAGAATGAGGCAATGAGAAATAGAAAATTAACAGTGCAAGGTACAGAATGAGTCACTGAGGAATAAGTAATGCATAGCACTGCATACAGAATGGGATGGTGTGAAATATAAAATGTACAGCACCATGAACAGAATGGGTCCACGTGGAACATAAAATATATCGCATAGAGTATAGAATGGGGCAATGCAAGGTACGAAATGTACAGCACAGCACATACAAAAGGGGTGGTGTGGAATGTAAAATGTACATCGCAGCATACAAAATGTGCCATCATCATCATATAAAATTTACAGCACAGAGCACAGAATTTGGCAGTTTGAAATAAGGAATTTATTGCATGGCATACCGAGTGAATGCAAAAAACAGATCATACAGCATAGGGTACTGAATGAGGCAGTGTGGAATATAACATGTACAACAAGGTGTATGGAATGAACCAGTGCGGAATAGGCAATATACTGTATAGCATGACACACAAAAGGAGGCAATGCAGTATAGGGAATGTATAGCATGGCACATGGAATGAGAAGATGCAGAATAGGAAACAAACAGCATGGCACAATGAATGAGGTGGTGCAGAATAGGGATTCTATAGCATGGCATACAGAATGAGGTGGTGTGGAATAGTACAGCATGGCATATAGTGTAAGGTGGTAAGTGACAGGGAATGTACAGCATGGCATATGAGGCATCACAGACCAGGGATTGTATATCAGAGTGAGACAGTGCAGAGTTAAAGAGGAAGTAAAGTTTTCTTGGTAAAAATTGCTTTACTAGAGATAAGACTGTCAAGTCTTATTCAGAAGTCTCTTCTGCCAAAAAAAAGCTTCTACCTGCCAAATTCAGATAGAAACTAACTCAATAATCTCAAAAAGAAACTACTGGAGTTGTGGTTCTGACAGCAAATTTGGGAATGTCTGCCTATCTTGGCAGGTCCAGCTCAGAATAAAATGTGAACTTTCTGGGCTACAAATAGAGATAATCAAGTTATTTCTCATAATGGAAAATGAACTTAAATGCCACTTTGCATGCATTCACAAAATTGTCAGTGGCTCTAAGTGAAATATATCATTAATGAAATATTAGTCAGTACAGATAAAGTGAAAGTTTTAAAAATCATTTTATCTGAACTCTCAAAGGAAAGGAAATCATGTTAGTATTCTGTATTCTTTCTACTTGCCAGCTTAGATATGCTACTGAGCAAATTCCCAAGAGAGTGAGTCCCTTTCGCTTTGGAGGATAGTGATGTGGAGATGTTACAATTTCCAAGACAGCAATAGGGAACACAGCTGTGTGCTGGAAAACAAACAAAATCACATTTGTATTGCATCAGATGGATTGTTATTCAATTTGATATTTTAAAATATACAATAAAAATATACTATTTGTTGCTCACTATTCAAATGGGATCCTAAAATAAATGCATTATAAAGATGGTCTGCAGAAAATTATAACACTGATATGCAAATGTTGAATTTAATGAGATTCTTTTAGCATACATTTGTAGGAACATGAAAGATGAAGCTGTATTTCTAGAAATTGTGTAATGGGAATACTAAGATGCATTGAGGTTAATGTTACATGTTAAAATAACAGAAGGAGTAGAAATTAAAGTGGACCTTTATAATTTTTACTTTAAAGCCCAACTCTAAGCAAGACTTTCTACTTAGTTTGGATAGAGAAGGAAATGAATAGATACTGTTAGGACTTCGCAACTCTATCTAAAATTTAAAACCTGCATCTTCAGAACCGCTAAAGCTTCAGATGTACAACTTGCAAAAATCTATCCAATAAGGACACAATCAAAGCTTAAAACAAATTCTAGTAGAGTAGGAAATGGTTAGACCCTCTACCATGTTTTTATTGAGGCCCACACTTTCCTGCCTCAGTGACAATCGCAACCCCTTTCTCTCCTATTTCATGTATGGACATCACATGAATAAAAAGGGAGGTAAAAAAAAACCCAGGGTCACAGACAAAGATAAAACCTGACAGATATGTTAGGACTTCGCAACTCTATCTAAAATTTAAAACCTGCATCTTCAGAACCGCTAAAGCTTCAGATGTACAACTTGCTGTGTGATCTTATGCTTTGCTCTGTTGCCACATGAGCTAATTGTAGCGCTATTGGTCACATGGTTTGGCAGCCATTTTGGATTGTGCAATATTGTGTTAACAACTTAAACTCTGAAACCATTGATCAGAATAACTCCAAACTTTGCACATATGTCCAGGGCGACCTCTTCTGCCACGGTTGTAGAAATAGGCCCGATCCCACAATCAAAATGGCCGCTGCAAGCCAATGATCTTTAGGTAGTGTTATTATTGTTATGGCCTTTTTTTCAAAAGCCTGTTATAAGCGCACTGTTACTCACAAACTGATGCAACTTGGACCAATGGTACAGCTCTATGCTATGACTAAACCTCTGCAACATAAAGGTCATAGGTCACTTTGCCCTGCAGCCATCTTGTTTTAGGTGATTATATTCAGCTCCATATTCAAACATCCATTTCTCAGAAACTGGTAAAGCTACAGATCTACAAATTGCTGTGTATAGTCATGATATGATCTGCATTCACAACTGATCATTACAAGTCAATTGGCCACATGTTTCGGCGGCCATATTGAATTGTGTCAAATTCAACAAATATTTCTATTATTTTTATGCTATTTTGTCAAATGGTAATTATTGCCACACCGTTATGTAAAAACTCATGAAATTTGGAACAATGGTAGAGAACGGTGCTGTGTTCAAACCTCTGAAACATTAAGGTCATAGGTCACATGCTCTGGTGGCCATCTTGGTTTAAGCAAACCTATTTTTGACAATTTTCAAACATCTGTTTTTTCATAACCGCTGAGGATACAGATATACAAATTCCTACATAAAGATATGAATAGCTCTGCAGTGACATATGTTTATTAGAAGTCATGTGACTACATGGTTTGGCAGCCATTTTGGACTGTGCAATATTCTGTCAACAACTTAAACTCTGAAACCATGTATCAGAATAACACAAAACTTTCCACATATATCCAGGGCGACCTCTGCTACCACGGTTGTAAAACCAGGCCCGTTCCCAAAATCAATATGGCCGCCACAAGCCAATCACTTTTTGACATTGCCTCCAATTGCATAAATTTGCATTTATATCACTAGTGAAGTATGTTAAACTTGTTATACATATGATAACTCAACATCATAACTGCCAAATACAATATGGCTCCAGAGGTCACCAAGGTCGGTGGCCATTTTGAATTTTTTAAATATATATATATATAATTCATGAAATCGTCTCCTACTGTTTCTCTCTCTAACTAAAATATCTTCTCATGTGCTATAACCGGCTCTACTGCTTGGCCACCTTTATTGCTGCTTCCCAGTCTTCTAAAAGTGGCCATTTTAACTAGGGGCAGATTACTAGATCTCACTTTACTTTCTGGAACTCTGGCACATGTGACTAGGATATGTGACCATGCACATGATCTCAGTGGAGGAAAATGCCTTTCCCTGAGATCTCATGTGATTACAGATGAAATTTCCCAGCAATGCTCTGCTGATGTAACCTTCCCAGGATGCAACACTTTGGCACATTACATCATTTGTTCCAAAACACAACCAGGAAGTAGATAAACTCTATTTGTACGTAAATGAAAAACATATTTGTTTAAGTAATAAATGTAAGATGATTTAAAATCAGCATGCAGAGCTGCATGCTGATGTGAATTTTAGTGAAAGGGGGTAAAGGTCCACTTTAACCACAAGTGGTTTGGTATTAAAGCTGTCTTAGGATCTTAAGTCACCCTTCCATTAAAGCATACACTGAAAACTGGCACAAGAGTGGTGAAAGGAGGCACCACAAGGTGGCAAAACCTACAACTGCATCACATTTCTTCTTCTGTGCTCCTTCACCGAGTCTTGAAAACTGTACGAGTCTTGAAACCTGTGAAAAAGGTCATACGCAAATCCAATCTTTGCTTAAAATTGGTGCCGCATTGTGTTTCCCACTTCCAATATTGCAGTGCATAGACTTTATAATGGATCACAGAATGGAGGTGTCTGCACTGTGTTATGAGAAGCAGTATATGAGGTGGGTGAGTCTCCTTTCTAAAGCTTCTATTGTGCAGCCCCCTCTCTACCCAATGTTTATCAAACCAGTATTTTTAGGATAAGATTCACTAAAATGAAATTTAGTGCACAAGTGATGTGTAATACAATAGTGCAATGTAATACCCAATTTTTGGGTAAAATATAAAAGATGGGGTCACTTCAGGTAAATAGATACCAAACATGTCAAGCTTTAAAATTGTGTGCACTTGTGAAACTACAATGACCAGAATTTCCCATAGGTGAAGCTTTAGACTCTTATACTGCTCATCAGTTTATTGTTAACAGTGACTGATGGCCCTAGAATTATTGCTCTCACTCTGACCTTCATGGCAATATGTAACATGTATGGTGACATTTTTGTTTTTGCACATAGGCGCATCCAATGTGTTTGTGTTGTATGTGCGGACATGTGGGGGGAGGGGGACTTTAAAAACATTTTTTTTTTAATTTTACTTTTTTTGTTATGTTACTTTCATTTATTTTAATTAAACTAACAAGCCCCATATGTAATAGCAAATAGAATGTGACAGGTCCTCTTTATGGAGACAACAGGGGTCTTTCAGACCCATTATGTCACCTAGGACCCCAAAGAAGCTGATGAAGCAGAGATCTGCTTCCCCAGCTTCTTCTCCTGGCTCTAAGAGCCGGAGAATGTCCACAGTGACACTGGAAGTGATGTAATACCCATCACTTCTGGGTCCAGTGATCAGAGGAGAGATCAGCGGCCAGAAGCCTAGTGATCTCCCACCGATCTGTCAGGGGAGACCTGCCGTGCCGGTTCCAGGCCCACACGGGGGACAGCGGAGCCTGGGGAAGCCAGCGGCGGCAGCGGAGGGGGGGGGCCACACAGCGCCACTCGGTACAAACGATATGGCGGCTGCATAGACAGCTGATCGCTTGCACATAAACAGCAATCTCCTGCAGCTGTGTTCTTAGTATAACCACTTCAAGCGGATGACGTGTATTTACGTAAACCCGCATGAAGAGGTTAAACTCCAGGTATTCATTAGTATGCATACTTACATTGGTCCAGCTTGTCCCAATGTCTGTATGCATATGCCATATCTGATCAGTCTGGAAATCCTGTAAAGCAAATTGCCCTTTATTCTGAAAACATAGGGGTGCCCACTCTGCATAGCAGCCATTCAGAGAATGCCGCTATGCCGCTATGCAGCCGTAGACAGCCGAGTGGAGACCGACCTGAAGCGAAGTGAGCCGAACGCTGTTCGGCTATTCACTTCAGGCTGAAATCAGCCGTACATCGGGTGGCTTCGTGTGCTCAGCATGTTCGGCCGACCCGAAGTGCAGGAGGAGTTCGACTCAGCCGATCCAACATGTGGATCGGCTAAGCCGAACCTCCGGCAGGCTACTCGCTGCTGTTCGGTCTATTCTTATAGATGCCCAACAGCGGTGACTAAATAGCCAAATGACCTATGTGGGACCGAGCAGAACAGAAAATAGTTTAAAAAGTACAAAAAAATAAATAGAAAACGATTGTGCGGAGCTAGCAGTGACTGTTTTCTATTGGCCGGAGGTTCTGCTGCCGTCAAAAAATAAATAAAAAAATGTTTGCTATAGGAATGCATTGCTAGATTCCTATTGGCTATTTCAATTTGCAATAGCCAATAGCAAACTAGCTATTGCACCCCCCTGATTGACAGCAGCAGTGGGCGGGTGCAATAGCTAGTTTGCTATTGCAAATTGAAATAGCCAATAGGAATCTAGCAATGCATTTCTATGGTGAAATTATTATTTTTTATTCTGACGGCAACCAACGGCTCCATGTCAGAATAAAAAATAAAAAAAGCAGGGAAAGTTTTACTCTGCTCGATCGAGCTGAGCGAACCTTCCTTGGAAAAATTGTTTCTCTCCTGGGTGGCCGGGAGCGGGACACTCCCAGAGCGCCCGGGAGAGTTTGCTGTCTGGAGATCAGTGTCCCTGGTTAGCTGGTAACCAGGGACGCTGATCTCTCTGCAAGTGGCCGGAGAGAGATGACGGCTGGCTCCGCCCAGCCGTCAGAAGCAGGCTGTCGGCCGGCCAATGGCCGGCCTTTCAGCCAGCTTCGGCTTTCAGAGCAGCTCAGTCGAGCCGAGGCATATGCCTTTGGCTCAACTGAGCCGCTTGGCCAACTTCGGGAGCTGTATGGGCTATAGTGAATAGCCCGTACAGCAGCCCTTCGGTTCT